AGTTTTTCACGCTCGATTTAATCATTGATTTCCTTTTCCGGGAACTCAATAACAGCAAACTTGATAGTCAGCCTGTTTGGAAAACGGATAGCAAGATGTTACGTGTGGCCGCGGGACGGGTGTAGGGCCTTATTTATCACTCCCTCGGAGCATTTTTTACTTTTGGTATTTTCCGATCCCTCGTTCAGTCTAGATTATATTGACTCTAGTCGCTCAGTGATCAACATTGATAGAATTCAATTTTATTGGGTTCTACGTTGTGTACTGACATGTTCGATGTTTAACCTTGTTTTTCTCAAAACACACTTTTTCACCACTTTTTGCTGGCATAGTTAGTATGCCGTTTTTGTTCTCCATCATTAAAACAAATTTCCAACATAGAGGCTTGAAATTTGGAAAGTAGTCTGAGAAATGCTTTGTACTTGCAATGGTTTACGAAAACCCCAATGTCTCTCCCCTCGGACTGGCTACAAACAGACACAGCTGAGGCACTAACAATCCCCAGAAAAACTACTCGTAAACGTACGGGACATTTCAAATGATTTTAATTACGCGTCAGATGGTTTTTATAGCGCTGATACAAATCTCTGTTTAACCCTATCCGTATGCCCAGGGGTCATTTTGTACCCTTGGGGTTGTATTCTTCACATTTTAGAATACTTCTAGCGCGAAGTTTTCTTTGAAACTTTCAGCATTTCTCAAAAAATCATTTTGACAGACTGCTATGCAAAACGTACGGATCGGATTGACGAGTAAATTTCCTCTTTGGAAAGTGGTGGCACAGAGTTCCCCACGTCGTATGGTTACGATAGTAAAACACCACGTACGGATAGGGTTTTAAACAAACACATTGAAAATTCAACCGTCGTTTTGTTGTTGTTGTTTGTTTACGTACAAGCACACAATATTCCTCAGCGAAATACATCCACCACTCAACAATTAGCCGAGGAAAAAGTTTTTATCCAAGTGTTTTTCTGTGACCTGAGGTCCGACATGGTTTCCGTGTGTGTGTGTTTGTTTGTTTGTGAGTGTGTCTGTGTCTGTGTGTACGAGCGTCGTGTCCTTTCTCCCGGGCCGCCGTGGCTCACACTGAGGGAGCTAGAAGGACGCACGAGAGAGGCACGTCCTGACTAGGGCTGGGCAATGATTCGCTATAGCAAAATCCGGATAATACGTAAGTTAAGTTTTAGTTCTAGTAGATGTTTTACGGCGCTCGCAACTGCATAATAAGGTCAAATGAGCGCCAGAAGATTAGAGGTGTTACAAGAGAGTAACAAACATAAAAAAGAAGAAGGGGAAATAAGGACGATATATGTTTGATAGGAAAGAAGAAGCAAATCACAATAGAGCACCCGCCAACCACCCACGATAATATTATTTTTATGTTAGTGCACCTCTTCGGCAAATAAATGTGTTATGAACAGCTTCGGCAAATGGATTAGAACCACTTCGACAAACGGTTTAGAACCATTTCAACACATTTGGGCACCCGCTTCTGCAAACAGGTAAGGAAAGAGAGTTTAAAGTCTGAATTCGGATAATGTTTCATTGAGAATTATCCCGTTATCCGGATATGTTTTTTCCGGATTTTGCCCACCACCAGTTCTAAACTTCTAACTGAGGCTCTGAGCTAACGCCCACCAGAGACTTTCCGAACGTACACCTGGACGAACACGTCACCACACGTGCTACGGTAGGAGGTTGTTGTTTTTGCTTTTGTTTTTGTTTTTGTTGTTGGGTTGTTTTTTGTCTTTCTTGTCCCCCAGGTGTAAAGTCGTTAGAGACAAACACCTCAATGTTCCCAGGTGGGTGTGTTTACGGGAGGCTCTTTGAGCTTGTATCCTATTCTATACACGTTCATTTCTTTTTCATATTTATTCTGTCTGTCTGTCTGTCTGTCTGTCTGTCTGTCTGTCTGTCTGTCTGTCTGTCT